AAAATAATAAAATGTTTATCAGTTGTTTTGTAACAGAACAGTACCTGCTTTAATTAAAGAAAATATAGGAAAGAGAAAATCAAAATAACAGTTGTACTGTATATGGAAAAAGGAATAAAATCTTTCTAAGCAATTTCTACTGTTATCATAATTATCATACTGTTATCATAATTTGATTAAAAGTCTTTCTGTATGTGTGAAATGAAGTCTTTCTGTATGTGTGAAATGAAGTCTTGTATGTGTGAAACTGTGTTTAATAGAAAATGTGATTTCCGAGACTCTGGGAAAATGTGAAAGCAACGTGTGAAAATAAATCGAATAAATTCAGTATAAATGTACAGTACCTACCTTGATATACAGAACAATCAGTCAATATCATTTCATATTCCAGGCAACACCATCAGTATTCATTCAGTCGCATTTGAGGCCAAACAGCATCTGATATATACGAGGGTTGCCAAAGCGAACAAAACAATGTCACAAATATGAGCGCCATACTCCGACAAATTGATACAATATGATGACGAATGTTGCACAGTTTTGTGTACATGTGTGTTCACAGCTTATATCTGAAGTATTTTTCTTAAAATTTGTTAAAACTTTGAGAATAAATACATAAAGAATCAACCAAACATGTGTATTTTTAAGCAAGAAAATCGTAAGCGCCAGCGCTAATTGTAGTCAGCAACATAACGTTGTCGTTACTGCGCATGCGATGAATCTCCAAGAATCTTGGAGATTTCATCGTATTTTACCAGGGTCTTCCTCAGCTCACGCGCCACCACGAGGAAGACCCTGGGGACGAGGTTGATAAAATATAATTGTTTTTGTTTGTGGAAACACCACGTAAATTTATTACTTCAAAGCTTTCGATCCGTAAGCCTGGATCTTCATCAGTGCTAATAATATGTGACTTGTTTAATTCACACGCTCTTTTAATTTAATTTAACACGCTCTTTTAATTTTTATTTCTTCTTTTTTTTTTTCTTTTAATTGTGATATTACTTTCCTAACTATGTTTATCCTAACCCACCCTGTCAACTTTCCCTGTGGGAGGAAACTGGAGCACCCGCAGAAAACCCACGACTTAATTTCGGCAGAGTGTTGACTGACTCTTTTCACATGAGTCCACACATGAGTCCACACATGAGTCCACACATGAGTCCACACATGAGTCCACACATGAGTCCACACATGAGTCCACACATGAGTCCGTAGCGAGAATCGAAGCCACGACCTCAGAGGTGAAAGGCACTTGCTCTTACTACTGTGCCACAGAAGCCTCTTATACCATCCAGAATCGACATGTCACTATGCAGGTTTGCCAAACACTCTTTTTGTCACATCTTCCATCGAACGCTTGTAAAATAGACATTTTGTACCAGAGAGCATCCAAAAACTCCTTGCTTAGAATTATTCTGTCACATGCAAATAACTTTTGCCTCATTTATTTAAGATTATAAGACTTTTTCAAGATTGTTTAAAAATATACACGCATTAACACAATTATTATTCACAAATATAACCCTAGTTAAAGAAAAAATATTAGAGAAATTTATAAAGGAAGTGAGTCGTATGCAGTGTCCAAAGCAGTTGTGCACTTTCGAGTTGGGCACTGCCTACAGTTTAAAATAGATTCAAACATACACAAGTGAACAGACCATGTGTCCTCGAGAACTTAGAAAATTACTGTCGAAAATTAACTTATTAAATATGCAATTTTCTGCCAATTGTTAACAGTTATTGGATGAGGTTGAGCAGGATATCCAGAATCATTCAGACCGTGGTCATTGTTATAGCCAAAGGCTGAGGCAAATAACATTGATCGAGGTCTGAAATAGAATAATTCTGGATATCCTGCTTAACCTCATACAATAGTTGTT